TGGTTATAAACATTGTAATAATAATAATAATAATAATTAATATTAATAGTGGTAATATGAAATGCTTCAGTATTACTATTCATAGTGATATAAATAATGGTGAATGCATTTATAGATTAAGTTTAAATATTTAAAAATTGACAAGTAATCAGAAAGAACAAAGTGATCATTTTAAGTAAGATAATAAGCGATAAACTTTAAATGTGACGATGAAGAGAAAAATTCGAAGCAGAGAGAGAGAGAGAGAGAGGGAGAAGAAATTGAATTGAATCTTTTAAAATTACATATACCACTTATAACCTTCAAAGGTTAGTAGATTATACAAACATAAAAATAAGAAGATTTGACAACTTGAAATCTAAAAAATACATAATCAAATGAATTCTTTCAAGGCTTATTAAGAGAAATGAAATTTGCAATATAACAAGTGAAATCGGACCAGAAAGGAATGGAAAATGGAATATCTAAGATTTTTTTAAAAATTCTCATTTTTTATTGCAGAACACAGTTTCCGAATATGATGAATGCAGTATTTATTAGTGCATAATACCTACATAATTCAACTTTTCATTTACAAGTAACAACAATATTATCAATTCACATGGAGTGAATACAAAATTTTAATAAATCAATACTAGAATTTGACATGTTCAATAAACTAGTCAGTCAATAACTTAGTTAGTTATGTATATATTATTTGACATATTCCATTGTAGACAATTTGTATTAAAAAATAGTTTATGCAACCAAAATGATGATAACAGAGGATTGAACAATACACAAGCATTACATATGTACAAGTATTCACAATCATTACAATATGGCAACCAACTGGACCATATTTTCATTTAGATACAGAATATTAATCTATGATTCCATATTTTACAGTTCCAAATTATCTATGCTCGAATCCTGCGAGGTGCGGGAGTCATGGATGAGCACTGCTGATGAGTCCCATACCGGGACAAAACGGCCGTACAGTGGTTCCACGTTTCTAGTAGTGGTCTAACCTAGATTGATTGATGATTTCAAAGTGTCACACTAATCATCAATAATGAAAAACATCTCTTCGAATAAAAAGTTACCATTGGTTAATTAAAACTATCATTCACAATTATTACGATTCTGTATATGTGATTTCATTAGAAATTATCCGACAATAATCGCAAACAAGTGCATTGTAGCAATAAAGGTAGTTAAAAAATATCTACCACCTAGATCTAAACTAAAATTAAACGAAACTAGAAATTTCGTGTAATTATTCAAATTAGATTGACAGTTTACATAGCCTATAGGTTTCAACTTTTAGCGAACTTGTTGCCGTCGCTATTCGTGTTAAATCCCATACTTCGTATAGTGCTTGTCGTAATCACTGTTACTAGATAACACCCAACGGGGTATAAATGAGAAGACGAATACGAAGCGTTGATGACGTTATCACCACGTTATCACACACAGATAAGAAAAGCACAGGCATGCGAGGCGAACGAGAGTGCCAAAGAGCGAGCAGGGCAGTGAGCTCGCCTTTGGACAGGATTAAAATGTTTATAAATATGCATAGAAAAATGAATGAGTCATTGAATTATTTCAGCGTATAACATTAAAGTGAGCAGGATGAATACGTTTTTAGGCGGTAAATGAGACTCAATCATACAAACGCGATAATAATAATAATAATGGCACAATGGTACAGATAAATTGTTGCTATTACCAATGATGCTGTCAGTTAAGTAAGTTAATTAAAAGGCTTAACCTAAATTACACGTAAACAAACTTAAATGTATGTGAGTTGTTATAACTAATTGAGCATAAGAAATTAAGTTTCTTTTTTTTTGAATCATCAAGTGAAGCTAATTCATGAACCTTAAAATCAAGTGTTTGAGATTTTTCATGGAAAATTTACACTCAACTGCCAAGTGTCAACAATCATTATAATGCTAGTACAAACTATTTTAACAACTATCGCTTGAATAAACCAATTTTCTTCATTATTATATGAATTACTGCGAAAAGGATAATTTTATTTTACCCAGCTCTTTATCAATCTAACATCATCACTTTCATACATTTAATCAATAAATTTTGAAATTATCCTTAAAATGGAGATTATCATTAGTTAAATTATTGAAAAAAATATTTAAAGATAGATATATAATAAGTATGTTGAAACTTCGATACGATCATTGATCTTCCGTAATAATAAATTAACCTTCTTGTTTGGAATATATATATATATATATATATATATATATATATGAATGTATATACAGTCTAATGACGAACCCAATAAAAGAAGGAATTTGGTTATTAATTAGGTTAATATTCTTTAGTTTTGATTTTAAAATTGTATACATGTATATGTACATATATATCATTGAGTAAGTTCATTAAATGTTGTTACTTTTTAAATGAAATTATAACCTTCTAATTACGTTCCGGTTGAAATTCTCTATGAAATTGAACTTCATTTATATATAATTGTGTACTGATAGCGAATTTTGTGCCTCTGCTAAAATTGAATGTGAAATATTTTTGAGGTATTTATGTTGGAGAGCGCATACGGAGTAAAAAAAAATTTATTTTCGTAAAATTTGTTTACTAATTTCCTACAATTTCATTTACAACTACCTTTACACGTAACAGTTAAATGAAAATAGAGAAATATTGATTTGATGATAAAATTAACAATCAGTTAACGATATTCTTCTTCATGTCTACCTAACATAAGTTACATATAGTGGATTTGAAAGTATTCAAAAATAGTATGATAGTAAATATATTTACAGAAAAAAAAAAGAAACGATCAAATATAATTATCCATTTGATAATGATAAACAAGATGAATAATTAAATAAACAAAAGAAAACAATGTCAAAAAAAAAAACTTCATAAGATTATTATTCAATAGAATATGTCTCTTATGAGAACAAGGATGAGGTGAAAGATAAGCTCCTTTGGGCTGTCTATGAATTGTTTGATATTAATGAGCGAAAATGCCTGAATATTTTCACTGATCTCGATATTGATTCCGATCAAATTAGTTTTGCTTGTCTCACGATTGGTTAGACAATAGTCATGAGATTTCCGTGAAACATACATTTAAATCAACTGATTTTTTTTGATGTCATCAATACTAATACAGATTCAATGAAGTCTGAAGAAAATAACATTAATTTCACTTCGAATCCTTGATAAGCAGTAATGCTATTCACAGTCACTATGCTTATCGAACCTTTTTCACACACATGGAGCAAAGCACTAAAATGCGTCACAAGACCATTGCTCACTGTGTACATTTAAGGTCAAAGGAAAATAGGAAGGCCAAGGAAAACCATACGTCGAGAAATGGAGACACACATGAGAAGAATGAACAAAAATTGAAGAGAATTGGACAGATTAGGTTGGTCGGTGGCCTATGCTCCATTGCGGTTAACGTAACTAAGTAAGCAAGTAAGGTAACCTACTTCCAACAATGCTTGTACAATGTCTAACAGAACGGCAATATTGACAAGATCGTTCATCAAAATACATTGCAATTTTGATGAAACGAGTATTACGAAAATATGAATACGTATCTATAACTCCGTAGTTCTCCCAAGTGACAAATACTAAAACTTTTATACTCAAAATACCTCCACTCCAGCATTAGCTTTAACACTACTCACAAACAACGGATTATCTTGCTCACAAACCATAATCTCCGATTCAGCAAACTTTAATTCATCTGACATCACAGGTTACTTTTTCAATTGCAGCAATTTTCAATCCTACTGTATGTATGCGGATGATGGTTGGTAGGATTTGAGCATATTCTTGGGCTAGTACATTTCGAGCAGCGGTTTTTTCGAAGCCTTGATGGTGTATACCGAGTAAGCAAGTGGATTGCGTCTTTTTGGTGTTTGAGTTCCGGCTGTCCAACATCATTCGTCTTTGTGTGAAGTCCACTTCATCCTACTATGGGTATACGGAAGATGGTTGGTAGGATTTGAGCATATTCTTGGGCTAGCAAATTGCGAGCAGCGGTTTTTTCGAAGCGCTGTTGGCGTATCCCAGGAAAACCGAGTAGGCATGTGGATTGCGTCTTGTTAGTAAGTGATGATTAGGTGGTTGAGTATCGTGAAACGAGACTAACCGATCTCACTGATCAAAAACAACAACACGTTTGACGAACAAAGTTAATGTCAGATTAATTATTGATGCGATGAGCCTGTCTTTCTTACATGACTGTCTCCCCATGATCAATACTTCATATGACAATTTAGCGTCAAATCAGAATACATGGCGAGAGAAAAGTGTTGGAGTTTAAATATACTTTATTGAACTGAAAGTTTTATCCTACTTTCAAGAGCGATGGCACTCAACATTGCTTCAGTTTTTGTCATACCAACAGATAGTCAGTCACATTGGAATCAATATATTCGTAATCTGTAAAACAAACATCATACACATTTAGTGAATACTTGTCGGTCTTTTCTGCCTAAACTTGATCTCATGCAAACAATTCATCAAGCGAAGAGTAAGTAGTGACAAAATATTGTAATCACAAAAGAAACTAAAAACACGTTATCAATCTATTGATAAAAATCAGAAAAACAAGGTGAAAAGACAGGATACAAAATAACAATAAATAAACGATACGAATACAAGTTTCTCTTTTAAAAAAGTAAATAATTAATATGTGCAGATTTATACAAACGATAACACGTGAAATACAATGTTGTATTGTGGGTTGAGATCAACCGTAAAATTATACAAAGAATGAATATATACATATCACATGAACACCAATAGGAGAATACGTATAAAGATTGGACTACGGTGAAGCCACCAAAGTCAACGCTGGACACAATAAATGACACCATTTTTAGGTAGGCCTCAACTTCACTTATAAGCAACGAATACTTTTCGTTGAGAATAAACTATAAGGAAGTATGTCAACAGAACATAGAAGAGAGGAACAACGATGAAGGATCCAATTTTTTCTGACGTAGAAAAGACTATTATTTATTATTATCAAGAATAAATTCAGATCGATTTGTATGTGCACCGATCATAGGAGCACTCATTAACCTTGAAGTAAATTTAAATGCTGGTGCCATGACTTTGCGACCGGTATTCAATTTTTCAACGTCTGCATAACCATTCCAATGATTATCATGAAATTTAACTAAATCACCACGAGATAAATCAGTTTCATTATTTGATATTACTACCTCATATGGTGCAGGTTGATGTCCATTAAAATGATACACTTTATCTAATGAACGAAATTGTTGACTTGCATCACCGAATTCTAAATGATTAGATTGCATCAATTCGTAAGCTAATCGACAAACCTGTCACGAGGAACACCGGAGGAGAATAAAATAAAGCAAGCTTGAAACCGAATTATTGATATAAGTGAATTATGTGAGAGTACAGTTACAAAGACAATCGATCATACTACTTACAAAATGATGATTAGTAGTAAAATTTCTCATAGCACTTTCATTTTGCAACTTATCTCGAGTGTTTCGTTGTCCGAATTCTCTCACAAAACGACTACTGGTTCGTCATCAGTCATGACTTTCGTGAAAACAACTTACGAACCAACTGTAAATAGTCAGTTCGCTCTTTCTATATACAAATCTTGATTAGTCAGAAGATCGTCAGGTACTTTCATCAATAAAAGTTTTCGACAGAACTTCAATGCTATAAAATCCAATCAGTCAACCATGATCAACTTATGACCAAGTGTGAATTTCGTTCAAATTAATGATGATTTATACCAACCAACAAACAAACAAATGGTAACGACATGATAAACAATGATAGATAACTAATTAGGTCGTTTACATGTCACTGTGAAACAAAATACAAACATCTTCAACTTACATTTGAAGAAAAAGTACAAACTAGGAAACTGGTTTTTGATAGAAAAAATATGTCACTGGCTATGCTAATAATAGAATCATTATCGTGTCTCTTGAAGACAGAAGCTGAATCAGCACGTCTACGATCACCATAAAATGTATAATTAGGATATTTCAATCTGGCTTCATCGAATAAACTAGGTTCATCAGTAGCTAAATACACACGTCGTTTTACTGGTCTCAATTGATGTTGTACATTGTGATTAAACGGTGATTTAATGTCACTTTTCCATTCCTAATCAAGATAAGAAAAGCTAGTAAATTTGTAGATAGATTACATAAACGAAAGATTCTTTATCAAAAATAAAGAGTCGACTAGCACAATGGGAAAATTGTTTATTTCATCAATGTAAAGATCATGTGATTAACTTTGAAGCAAACTATATATAGTAATCATATATGTCAAGGAGTTTCTGCACCTCTCACATTGACCATCATCTGTGATACACACCGTACATCAATAATAATCAGTGATTCAGTCAGTCAAGCAGTTGCAACCTAGACTTTCTTACGTATGTACATAAGTACATGTTGCCATATCACATTAGCACGAAGACGCAAATGTCAAATCAAATCCCATAGTGATAGAGATAGTAGAGGTATTAATGGTAATGAAGAAGACTAGGGTTTGAAGATGTTGTTCAAGAAGTATAATTCAGTGAGATAAGGCTGTAATGCCTCCACGTATATTCGAGATCGCTCATAATCATGCTCTATCCCTTGGAGTTGGATCAACAGCCTTCTCCAAATCACGTCACTTCATTCGTTTTATTCATTGCTTCTCCGCTCCGCTTTGCGGTTTGTCCCAAATAAACGTATTCAAAACTACGAGTTCGCCTTATGATTTATAAACCTTCAGACGCTAGTTAGTAACGATTGTCTGGATGAGCTAATTACCGAGCTTAAGAACACGCAGTAAATCGACTCACTACAAGGTTAGAAAGACAAAGGTAGAGTGCTGACGAGTTCAGAAGATTGTCATTTGAGAGAGTACGACGAATGAATGCACTTGCGCCATTTCAAACGATTTTGAGCCATTTCGTTCAAGGTCTCTAACCGTTGTGTGTCCCGTTATCTGAATGAGTACGTTCGTTTCACAGAATTAGGGATCCTGGATACCAGAAGCTATCATATTACCAGACAAGAGGTCAGTTTGTAACAGTGTGCACAATGATAGGGAGTGAATTCTAATACTAATAATAATAAGATTTCAGAACTAAGTAAATAAATAGATAATTTGGTTTTACAACCGGCAGTGAAGGTTGTACGGGAGAACGGAAATGTAAGCAAAGGAGAAGGAACCGAGATTATAGGCGAGATAGATTAACTTGGTGATTTGAGGAGACGGCTGCTACAAGTAGTCATTTGAACTAAACACTGAGATTTGTACCATGTTTGTTGAAACTGGGGTAAGCCTATCAGGACCTTCTGCTCTATCTCCCTTTAGATTTGCTATAGCTTTCTCAACTTCATGTAGACTAGGAAGACTTAAGTCGATTCGCCATTCAGGATGACTGGGGATAGTGGGCAACCAAAGTGTCGCTGAAGGCCAGTTGAACTGAACCCTAAAGTGTTCTGTCCATCGATCCAGTCTCCTGGATTGAGAATAAATAATAGTCCCATCCTTGTCCGAGATAGTCTCACTTACGCTAGGATTCCTAATACCAGTTTCTGATAAAAAATGAAAAGGTCATAATCTTCATTTGAAATGATCACATTTAGTTTATGAATTGAATAACTGTCATAAATCTCTTTTAGTATACCCAGCTACGCCTACTGCTTAGTATCCTCTGACAACTATACACTCGACAAGTCCCCAAATCAGAACACGGATGAACAGGAAAAGATTATATTCCAGAAAGCAAGGTTAAGTGGAAGTAAGAAGCCGAAGCGGAGGCGAAAAAGAAACAACGTTAGTATCTTTATAGTTTCTTACATGAGAAGCTTCGAGGATCTAATCCACGTGATTGACTAGAGCTGACTGGATTAGATTTAGCCAATCAACATGCAGCTAACAACACGAGAATCGATCTCCCAGTATCGATCAGGCGCTCATTGAACAGAGATTAGCCAATCAGCGCACAGCTAACGCAGTCATGCCATACTCCATCTCTATGTCACACTAACAATAACATTGTTGTGATGTTCCAATTCAATACGATGAGATGAATGGTTGACTGATTCATTACTTACTTCAAGAGGAACATTTCGTACCATTGAATCACAGATCTAACCTACTACTTAGTCAATCTCATGAGATATTTTCACACACGAAATAACCAGTAGACAATATGAAGTCATTGATTATGTAATCGAGTTACAACTGAACGACAGCCATTATACACATGACAAGCCAGGCTCCAAAACTTACTTCAGTTCTAGACATCATTTGACGTTCGGCATCTATGAATTGGAAATAATTTTCAACTTCAGTGATGTATTCTTCTAAACTGTGAAAACGTGCTTCCCATATTAGCTAAACTCGGAAAAGAGAAGAGATTCAAGTGAAATAGTTCATTTACATTCACATCAATCATGAATGAATTTAAACCAACCCTTTCGAAGTGCATTTTACTATTCATTAAAGTTTACACAAAATAACTCATTCAGGATTAGTAATGGATACTTGTCAATCAATTAGGCCAAATAACATCCAATCACTCCATGCTACAACCAAAAGATGTGAACACAACACATCAATATGGTTCCCATTATCACCTTAAAGAGAGCAAGTTGAAACAGTTGAGCAAAATAAAATGCGTTCATTTCATTTCGGTCGCTACTTGTCAGCTGCTTACATCATGAAAAGTGTTCAGTTGCAAGTTGATATGGTCATACATCAGTATAGTATAGCAGAGTGTAAATGATTCGTACAATAAACTGAATAAAAGATTTCAAATATAAATGCTCTATGCAGAAGAACGTTCTACAACATTAATAATTACACAAGTTCAATGGACTGGTTACTCAATGAATTTTATCATGCAATATAATAATATTATTATGACAAACGGGAAGAAAGATTCGTACAATAAACAAGGGTGGCATTTTCGTCAACAAGGATTTTATGTCGAAAGATATTATGAACGTTATAGCCACATTCATTCAATTTAGTCTGTCAGTGCATTCAGCTGCATCTCTTATTGTTTATGCTGCTAATCTCTGATAGATTGGTTTTAACGTTTATTTTTTACAAGTACAGTGTACATGCTCTTGATTCATCTTATGTGAAAACACTTCAATCCTTGTTGCGCTTTTCTATCTCAGCCGCAGGTTGAAGATTAATTTCATCTTTGTGATATAATCAGTGCTGTTCATGATGATTCAAATATCTTCAAAATACGAACAAGAATCTGTACATGGATGTGAGTTGTACTAAAGTTTTATTCAATAATATAAGTAATTTTATTCACATATCCAATCAGTCAATAATCCAACTTGATCAAATTAATTTCAGTAAAACAAAATGAACAACTATTCAATAAGAATACATACATAAAACTCACTTTATCCGTACGTCGAATATGAACACCAACAATCGGATTCTCAGTTTGATCAGTGAGTATTTTAGATGCTTCACTTAGATCAAATGCCGGACGCATTAAAAATTTAGCCAATTGACCAATGAACCAAACAAATGGGGCACCATGTAAATGTGAAAGTACTTTGCTCAAATGACTGGGAACAGCTGGAGGCATCCAGTCGAATGGAGGAATAATTGAATTGTAGTTTGGACACCCAACCGATTGATAAGTATCAAGAGATTTTTTATCAAAAGCTACAAATGAGAACAGTTAAAATTTAGTGTGAACACTTTCCGTGTGCTCGAATGATGGATCAGTCATACCTATTAGTTGGTCTCACTAGTAGTAGAGAACCCAGTTTGACAAGCAATCAATATCTATTTGTATTAGGATCAACAAACATCACACATACACACCAATATCGTAAGATTATAGGATACAGAGATAAGTTATGTTTTGGATTCAGTGTTGTTAGATCGTACGTAGTATTACTACAGTTAATCATAAAATAATCGCATTTGCTTTTTTATTTCGACAATCAATGGAGTTTCAAGTTCAGAAAAAATTCAAATTCAGATACCTTTAAATATGCAGAAAAACAAAGAGCAACAGAGTGTCTAGTACACATGACAACTCACTGAAATTTATCCACATTTCTGTTAAATTCTATACAGTCCTCCTACACAATAAGTCCTCGGTATAGAGCTAAAAAGATCTTGTTACTTCTCACCAGTTTTATGTTACCAATATTCAGAATGATTATCTGTTATCGAGTAATCAGTATCAGACTTCAACACTTTGAAACAAATACCCAATGTTCATCAGTCAGTCAGTTGCAACGCAGAATTTCGTACGTATGTACATAAGTCCATGTTGCCATACCACAGCGCAGAGAGGCAAATGTCCAATCAAATCCCATAGCGATAAATATACTAGAGGTATTAATGTTAATAAAGAAGACTAGGGTTCGAAGATATTATTCAAGAAGTTCATCACACCATCAGTAACCAAGGTAGGGACGATAGAAACATCTGATCATTGAAAATGCATTTTTAAAGTCGCAAAATAATTTGGTTAGAATTAGAGCAAACATATAAACACAAAATAATAGAACTAAAAACTAGAAAGTACACGTAGTGCGTGTATCTGAATGTCGAGCCTAAAAGCATTGTCTTAGCCTTTCGACAACTTAACCAGCCCAATAAATACAACAATTTAAAGATATCATGATGTCTTCTGCATCATGGAATTCAATATTGTGTCAATCAGTAATATATAGTTTCTCAATTATACTTATTCAAACAATCTCAATTTTCGGATCCATTTCACTGTGATAAATACTCAACCTATTGAATGTTTGACAAGTTACTCTAAGAATGACGGGACTCGAGTATAGCTGTACAAATGCAAGATTTTTTTATAACCAATGCAAAAAACATAATTTGGTTCTTTAGTTAGACGTCATTTTGAAATACGTTTTACTTGTGCTTTGTGAGTAATACGACTCAATTTTCAGTCCTTCTACGGTTAAACAATAGTGCATACGAGGACACGAACCTTCGGAAACAAATGAGAATAATGAGGCACTGTTAGATTCATATACTGTCAAAAACATGGTGCTTCGTAGCAGCAACTACGTCATTCACAAAGTTGCTTGAGATTCGCACGACGACATCAAGGATTACAAAATTGATCACGCACATTGATTTATTAGGGCTAGATTCGAAGTCAACTGCAAAGACGGTTTACTTCATTTTATGGAAGATCTGGGAAGAAATCTTAACATTACAGAGGAGAAAGAGCCACCTCACTTTGATGACAAACAAAGGAGATCTCAATAAGTGTGAAAACTACCAGGGGAGTACTCTGTAGTAAATACCAGGCAAGGAAGATGTCAACATTGAGCAGATTAGTTGCCCATAGAGCAGAATCTCATTTGTGCTGATATCACACATCATGCCTGCATTATTCGTCAGGTAATTGAATTGCTAGAAAATTATCGTGAAAGGAAGAATATTATTTGAAGAAGTACTTACAATCAGAATGGTTATTTGACTGAATGTCAGTTATATTGCATTTCTGAGATAATGGTAGGAAATTTTTCATCCACCATTGTGTATATGGTTCACTAACTGCAGAATTCAAGATTAATGTACGTCCAGTTGCATAGGCCATATGAAAACAACGCATCAAATAATGTGCATTACAACCAAATCCACAAGGTAACGTGAACCATGCAACAATGAATTTGGCATTTTACAATCTGGAGGATTCTATTCAAAAAACAACAACAATTACAAAATCAACGAAATCAAATATTACTGTCAGGAATCTTCAATGCAGATTCGAATTTACCATAGTTTACTAGATGTAATATAATCATTAACACAAATGATAATTGCGACAGGTGGCTGAATGAAAAAACAGCATCGTTTCATGAAGTGACTGACTACCGGAATGATTCACTTTGACAGGCACTGACAACCTGGTTGAGAACCTCATGACAACCACCGTCAATGGTTGGAGATGTTGACATATATGGCTTAGAATCATTCAGAACGGTACAGATATATTCACTTTTGCTTTTTCTTTAGATTGTGATTCTATAACTTTTCTCAAACTCCTTCTTCATCTTAGAGATCTCAATGTCTGATTTTCATTCTCTTCCTACAACAATTAATCTTACTAATACTACTACATATACTACTACTACTACTACTACTGCTAAAACCACTGATACTGCTACTCCTACTATTACAATACTACTACTGATACTAATACTCTTTCATTCACAGCCATAATTTCGTTTCGTTTTGATAATTCGGTGAATATATATTCGAGGTTCTACGTTGAATATGACTCATTAATCAACGACATGAAACTTTCGTAATGAATAGTCAAAGAGGAGACGAATTTATTGGAGTACCATTGACATTGAATGGATTTAAGCATTAAATAAGTGACTGAAATGTACGGAGTGGAAAGGAGTTATATATGAAGGAATGTAGTTATATAATATACAGAAGAAGATAAAGAGAAAGTGTATCTTAGTGAGTGTTGATGACTCTTTAACATGTCGAAGTAAGCAGATGGCAGACTATACGCTTCAACCATTTCAGTGAATGCAGACACACAGAATCATCAACAGATTTGACATACAGTTGCGTAGTGCCTTAAGTATAAACTCAGCATCGTTCATTCGATCTCACGATAAACAAGCAATACTTTGAATTCATTTATGATGACGGTGCACACGTGGTCAATTTCGTAGTCAAAGTCTAGAAAACAAAGCAACAATTCGCAGTGATGATAAGTGTATCCGCATCCACGGTTCAAAGACATTTACATTTCATACACAACTCCCTCACTACCACACAAGTGAATGGAATCAGTCAACAGATTTCATGAACGACCAGCAAATGAAATTCAAGTTTAAGCCATTGCTCCATTTCGCAAGAACACCAGTGAGCTGGGATGATCAGAGTGACAGAAGTGGAGCTCTTCACAATCTACATCTCTTAACTGATCAGACAAAATCAACAACGTTTTAAAAGTTACCAAACAGGCATTGAATACAGATAACATAATTTACACCAAAGAAACATGTTAACTGGTGGATTCATTACATACACTCATGAGTTCACAATTTCCAACAACACAAGGTAACGACTGTTGTGTAACCGTCATCAACAACTTTCTTATGAACAGGCTATTAGTTTACGCGTTAGTTTGGAGAATCACATTACACTTTCAAATCATGTTGCACAAATCAAAGATAAGCATCATTTCAATAGTTTTAATACAATCACCATACCTTGAACAGCCCACTATCACAGTCATAAACATCCTTCAGATATAAAACTAACAAGATTTTACAACATATAACTAACTTGTAACTTGAATAATTCATTCTGAAGTTCATTTGATAAAATATCCAGATACTTTATTCGTGACTCCAACATACCGTCAACTCGTCCAATTCCATCAATATTAACTTGTAAATGTGTAGACATTTCATGTAAATGACGTTTTAACTGTTCCACTGAGACTTTTATTTCTTTCAATGGTTTAATTAAAGAGTAGTTTTTGATTGTATTTATTTTCTCATTTACATTATCAAGTTGAACAAGACTATACTTGACTTCACGAACATACTGTAAAGCACGACGACGTAAAATCTCAGATGACATACCACGTATGCCTACGACGAAAGTGAATAAATAAATACACTGATAAGAACAAACACTTTAAAAACTACTAAACGAATGATGAATTATTCTTATTTTATTGATGATTGCCACTTTTCTAACGCAGAAAAAGTAAAAAAAGGTGACTGTTCTCGGTGATCATTCTTTCAATCCCACAGTGGTCACATAGCAGTTGTGGGTAACATGAATAATAGTGTGCCCTTGTTAAAAGTTCTTTCAATTGTTCTGTACAACTTTAGCAGTAACGATTTTGTTACTTAACACAAAACTGTGAATTCACGTGTTATGATTTTAAATGGTATAATTGTTTGAAACGTGGCCAACTTATGCATTAGTGAATACGGATACACAATTGTAGAATCTGAATAGAATTTACTAGAGAGAATATTCTGTGTTCTTATAACGTTTGTTTGCACAAATCATATAAAATCCAACCGCAATTCACTAATAAATTTAATATGACAAACTAACACATTATACATTGAATATTTCCAACAGACGAAGTATTTTCAGCTGATTTGATGGAAAGCTTTAAGAGCCCAATAAAAACAGTAGCCAGTAGATGGTTTAGCCATGCAATTAACAATTTGGAGTTTATAGTGCCCTACCTGGAAAATATTTGGTCACATACACATAAAAATTACCACATAAAACTTACCTCGGACAACAATGGTATTTCCAGTTTTATATCTATTGCAAAAAATGAAATTGATTGAAAAATCATAATGTTACTACCATTATTGATTACTTCAAAGTAAACTAATTCTGTACGGCTGACTCAGTGGTTTATAAAGCTTCGTTGCATGTATCTTTAATATTTTGATCTTTGAAGAGATCCCTAAGACTTCTACCTAGTTAGGATTCGAGGTATATTTGAAGCAAATATTTGGGACACTGTGTCAGTTAAATTGATTTCACTGTCATTGTAAAAGGAGGACCTTTGTTCTATCATATAAACTGGGACAATCAGTGATTGAGACCAATCGAATGGGATTATATCCACTCATCAGGTGCCAGAAAACACCACCAACCATAAAAATTTCAGGCGTTAGTCAATCAAAACTTGATGCTCTTGCTCACTCAAGATTGACTATAGCCGTTTCAGCCAGGTTACGGGTTGAAAAACCTACATCGATTTGTCACTCTGATTGTTTGGAGATGGTGAGTGACTGAGGTATCATTTGAACTGATTTTAATGCGTCCTGTTAACCGGTCGAATCTCCTGGATTGAGAATGAAAACTAGTTTAATCTTCGCTTTTTTTTCTGTTTTTGCTACACATTTTACGAGAGCAATGCTTCGAACACACCGACCGTCGAATACTAATGAATTGCAAATATCCCCAATTCCTACCCGTCATTTTTTCACAGCCATATATTAGGACATAACGAACTGCTGCGCAATACACTCATCCTTTGATTAGGAAATCAACATGGCACCCACACCACAAGTGATCCAGGCGATCGGCACTAATGAGACTCCCGAGATAAGTGAAGCCGTCAACATGCTCAACCGCTTCACTGACTATCAATCGTTCAGGTGCCCATGGAAGCCAACACTAAAGTAGCATTTTGCATTTCAGGGCCGAAAACAGCATTCCGATCATGCATGCATTGTCGCTCACGGGTGGTCAGAAGACTGCATTTTGTCAGCGTCTTCAACAAATACAACTGTGCCATCCGCATATTCTAAGTCAACAAGAATGTCTCCTGGTGGAAGGTTCACCTCAGAAATGTCAGAAGAAGATAATGTTAACTACAAAAGTATGTCTGCGAAACAATGAAATAGGAATGAAGAAAGTGGACAGCCATACCATGAATAAACACGAAATACATGACTATGAGGTAGATTCACTCACATGTCTGAATACAAATAACAAATCAACAGAAAATTGGTCACCATTAAAAGCATTCTAACTTACTGAGCATCCACTTGTTTTTCCAAACCAGTAATTACTTCTAGTAAGGACTGATAGGTCAAATCTTGTTCATTATTACTTCTCAGATTGAAGAACTTGAAACATAAATAGATCGTCACACAGATCCATATGGCAACTGCTGCAGTTATAAAAGGACGTGCATGAAAGAAATGTTTAAAACCTAAAATTCCATAACACAGCAGATAAAGATGCTTACTTGCAACGACCATTTATTAGATCAATATAGATTAAATATTATTCAGACGATGCTTCAGAGTCTAAAAACGGGAGGAAAACAATCAATTCTTTACAACAGAATAAAACATAACATTTGTTAAACCATACTTTCATTTGGAGTAATATTACAGTGAAATTATTAGCGTCGAGAGTTTAAGTAAGTTATATATTAAAGGTAATTTGGCGTTTCACTGAGTGATAATGAAAAGTAAACCTGTTACCAGCTAACTAAAATACCTTACGAACCACTATGCATGCAATATTTGTAACAAAAACCGAGTGACTTATACCTAATTTGTAGCAAACAATATTCGGTCTACTCCATAATGTCAAATAACTCCGTGACTTTCGGATGTACATACTACCTTTCTTATTTTCAATTTCATATATCCAGGTTTCATATCAATCCATTAAAGCTGTTACTCGAACATAAATGGGTAGCCACCTAGGTCTGTAACTGCGATCACACAGGCTTTAGAGCTGATAAGTCGAATTCCGGTAGAATATCTTGACAATTTTCAACAGTGGCAGTGATATCTTAATTAAATACCAAGCACGATCTGATGCGATGCCACTCTTAGAATTGACTATCTGCTCAAAGTATGACATACCGACGACCCCGAATGACTTATCAGCTACTCATAAGACGTAGACTATTTATGAAATACTTGACAACAAAAAGCAGCAAAACAAAGGTGAAACAATAACTTTGATCTGAAACACCAACCATCACACATCATACCATACCTTTTAGTGAACGTAAGAGGCTCAATTCACATATTACGAGTCAGGTTAGTGTTGTGAGTTAAGCTAATTGTCTGATCAACGATACGTAACTAGATGACACTACCTATAATACAAAAACATTGAGCATACGTGTTAGCGGATAAACTGTAGTTCTGATTCAAGTAAACAAACCACATCAAGCGTTGCCATTACGATGTGACAGCAGTTGGCTGCTGTATGATAGCAACCGAATCAGACGAGTACGAGGGAATCACAGTGACGATGTTTCATCATGTGACGTAAACCATTTTAGATATTCATCTAAATGATTCCCTCATTTTCGTTACATTGAGTGTTGTGCAACGCTTTTCACCTTCCTATTTACAAACTCATGAAATCTTATCATAGCTATTTAGAATAACAGTTGGAGAGTACTATGTAGTATCGGTAAGCTCTTCATGATACGCCTATTCGTGTAAGTCACTTTTAAGTGCTTTAACCGATAGTTCACTTCTATAATTCTTCACAATCTCGAGTACCTTCTTGTTACAAAATGAATAATCATGCTGATTTCAAGCATTTTGTGTACCGAAAATTGTCGATTCTAACCCTGATCATGACAACACACAACTTAACTAACACCATAACGCATTCGAATGGTGACGCCAACAAATTCTAGTTCCGAATATCAGAATATATAATATTCATGCTTTTATCCGGACGCACATGCAATTAAATAGACGCGTAATCTGATACTCCGCGAGTTGGCCTTGCAAATGTCTGTATAAGAACATTTAGTCCAATATCCAACATCTTTTAGATGAGCTAGTATATATCAATTGATTTCTTTGCGCTCGTTTCTTGTTCTTTCGGTATTTAGTGGTGTTTTATGTAAGAGCGTCTTGACACTCGAATGCCAGATTCTAGTCAGTTGGCAGTTAGTTGTGAGTTTGTATGTCCCGTAATTTGAATGAATATGATTGTTTCATGGCGGTGGGGATTCTGGATACCAGAAGCCATCAAATTAACAGACTGTAGATCAGTAAATTGCAAAGTAAGTGATAATAAGGATAAAAGTCTAGTGCTAAAATGATGATTTCCATGTATATTCTTCAAATTCTTGATACAAACCTATCTGTTGAGGTACGCCAATTTGAGCAACAAATATGGCAGGTTGCTCCTGGTCTCATCCTACATAAAAGATTTATGATGGCAACTCCAGCGCCAACGACCTCTTTCTGTTCGTCAACCCTCCCGTCCCACAATCGCACGTCTGCCGATCAGTTCCACGAACGAAACCGCTACGTATCTGAAGTGTAAATCCGTTCGAGCGCGGACTGCTGTTGTGATCTAATTTTACGAAGAAGACATGAACGGTGTAATAAAAACATTTATTAATATAACCAATTGTACAAGTAGTTGCTTTACTTTACCTTTTAGTTTAACTGTTGCGAAAACCCGCATTTTCCGCTGTTTGGGACCATAACCTAGCTGACGTACGCACGGTAGTCTCGCCCGTATATGTTGGCACGGTCTTCATCGAATTCCAATACCATGAGATCGCCAACAAATATATCTAGATCACAGTCTCCCCGCGTGAACCAGTATCTGGGCGATATTAACAGGATCATCAAATATTTCGGAAAACAACTATGTAAATTTTTCTATATCTTCCAATGTGCGATAGAAAAAACAAGTCATCTGCAAGTTCCAAGTTATAATAATTTATTTCCAAATAACGTGTTACAAGTGATATGCCGAATTACAGGTAAGATCAAAATGTTAAAATTGCTAACATATGTTCTGTTAAAGGTTGGTCACTTACGTGAATATTTAATAATAAAAATAATAATTTATTCTCAAATAACAAAAGATTCATTGACTACATATAGATGGCTGGGATGTTTCACATACAATTATACATAATGTTTTAGACTCTGCAATGTACAATACGATAGTTGGCGCGTGTGACGTTTGTTAATTTATGAAAAACCAATAGAGGCTGAAAACCAATGCAAGGTAAATCCACGTCTGCATATAACAACAGTTGACGGGGTGAATGTGCAAAGATATTTTTGTTCACGTTCATCAGATAATAAATAGACAGGACCTTCGTACAGTACCACGGATTAGGCAGTTATCCAGATTAATGTTTAAGGAATAGAATAAACAGCTGAAAGAGAGAAATAAAGAGAAAAAGGCAAGTTGCAGAACAGAAAATATTCTTGGTTAAAGCTGATTCATGACCAGATGAAGCTAGATGCGAAAATACTGACAAACAACAATTACCTGCTAAGTTCATGCGCACCTAAGTGACGAAGATCTTGCAATCTTCATAAGACGAGATAGGAGGGATCCAGCTTGTTACAGACCAGTTGCATTACTAGCAATATTATCTCAGGTAATGGAAGTGCTGGCGAACGAGAAAATGGGTAGAAAATAGGAAAGAAAGAAATACGCTATGAAGCTCACCACGGCTTTCGGAAAGGCAGGCCGAGTGCCTCAAATCTTATCATAACGTGTGACACTTGGTCCATCTGTTGTGACCGAAAAATACCGGTCCACATCACGTTTCTAGACTTGGAAGTAGTCTTCGAAACAGCACCCCTCGTACTCCCAATTACGAAGGCGAAATCCCGAAACTGGTAAAATAATTATACACAAATGTCACTTCAGATCGTGATCTCGGTCTAATCGCCACTGGAAGTCACCACACCAGCTCAAACTATATGGGGGACGCAGCCAAGGCAAACGGGGCTCTTCACTTTATGCGAAGACAACCCCATGCTACCACCATACACTTATTCTGAAGATGCTTGAGGCACATGCAGTCACACACCGTGGGGTTCACGATGTCGTCACACCCCATCTCCTTAAAAGAGACGTACATCTATTAGGTTGAGTGATAGGGTTGATAAATTAAAGTTACGAAGGTAGACTCCATCACTTATGATCATTCATCTCTGAGATACATGATGAACAGAGATGATCTGAATTTGGCGTACAACATATTGGGTACACTAAACCATCCTATTGTATATTATAGATGCATCACCATCAATCCTCTTGAGGCAATCCTAGAAAAAATGTACATCAAGGAACGTATATTCAAGTTCGAAGTGACCACAGAAGTCTCAGTGGACAGCTTTAAGAAAAGACATGATAAATAAGTGCTCACATGTGGGTTATCATCTCCCTCATGGAAAGCTGTGCTTGATGCACGCATTCAGACTTCTTAGTCGTGTTCGTTTTCCATCTCCTCAGATCACTTACATAATATATCTCGCCTATTATCTCTAACGTCCCTTCTTTGCATACACTCTGGTCCTCGCGCACAATCTTCATTACGAATTATCAAACCAAATCATCTATTTATTTATTTAGGTCCATAATCTTCTTCTTATTAGCACTAGAATTTTCTCCACATTGCATCTCAAAGAGCGAATACTCAGATTCGTGCACACTGTTTCTCACATAGAGTCGTCGCAACTTGGAATGCTCTCGCAGTCGAGGTGACTGTTACGTCCAGTTTTTTGCCCGTTGATTCTACGAAGCACGGTTGTCGAACTATTTGTAATTCACTATCCCAAATTTTAAACCAAGAACGAAACTCCAAAGTAGATAACAAAGTTTATTCCAAATCACAAATTCGACCAAAATGCTGTATTACAAATAGACGACCAATGTCGTTCTTCTAATTTATTAGCTCTTGGAGCAAAAAACTGCAAACGAACAACAAAAAGAAACGGGAGTCCGAAATGTCCGCAAATAATAATTCAAACAAGTTCATAAGTTAAGTAAAACAAATGTACCCAAAAACAGTGAAATTAATGATATTTATACATGAAGGTTTTGATCAGCAAGATGTCTTCGTTTCTCCCGTAACAGTGACCACAGCCACCTCAGTGGACTGCTTTAGGAAGAGACTGGATAATCACGTACTCACATACGGATTATCATCTCCCTCTTGGACAAGCTGTCCATGATGCATATCTTGAGACTTGACAGTTGTTGCCATTGCCATCTCAGATCCTTTACTAATTCTATCTCGCCTCCGATCTCCGTTCCCTCCCCCTCGCTTACACTACGGTCCTCTCTCACAATCTTCACTACCAATTAACAAACTAAATTCATCTATATATTACTCAGTTCTGAAATTTTATTCATATTATCATTTTAGTTTACCCTTATTACCCTTATTACTCTCCACATTGCAACTAACTGATCTCCGGTTTGTTAATGTGACGGCTGCTAGTATCCAGAAACC